GTACGCCACGGGGAGTTTGCCAGACTCTGCCCTGTGGGCAGGCTACATTCGATAGCCTGCAAGTTTGTCCAAAGTAGAAATAAGACAATAAGATGTCTTAAAAAAAAGTTCTGTTAAGATGTCGTGCGGCCGCGAATGCGGCCGCGCGGTTCCGAGATCTGAATTTTATAGTCTCTGAGTCTTGGCCGCTGATGGGATTACACGGCGCCAGGGGGCCAGGTGGTGGGTGTGACCCCCGCCTACTGGAATTTGGAGGATCTGGGTGGAAGATGCTCAACTCCAATCCAAGTAGGCTTGGAGGTCTCGGCCCCGGAACCCGCGTGGCTTTGTCCCTCTGCCAGTACCTTCATGTGTGCGGAGAGTGGTCTCAGCATGGTGGTGGCTGGTCCTGGAGGTCTTCGGCTGCCGTAGCCCTGGTCGGGGCGGGGAGGAAAGCTCAACCCGCTCCCCTCCAAGGGACTCCGGGAAGGAACACCCAGGCGCGGGGGCAGAGACTGCACTGTTCTCGTCCGGGATCTGGATTTTATAGTCTCTGAGTCTTGGCCGCTGATGGGATTACACGGCGCCAGGGGGCCAGGTGGTGGGTGTGACCCCCGCCTACTGGAATTTGGAGGATCTGGGTGGAAGATGCTTATAGTTAAAAGTACTAAAAATTACACAAGCAACCAATTTTGAAAGATCGAGATATGTCAAAAAAAGAATTTATTTTTTTCTTTTTTCCATGTGTTATATCACAATTAGGTAGCTGATGTTTATGGTTTTCCTTTCTGCATGGCTATTGTGCATTTTTATCTAAAATAAGTTTTACATATAAAACTTTTGCTTAAAAGATAATTCTAATGAAAGGATTTACTTAATTATCTTAGAACCCTTGAAGGTAAAAAAAACTAAGGTTTCTTTTAATATACATGATAATGGTATTATCTCCTCTCTTCTTTCAGTATACATAAATGCATAAAGAATTAAATTGGATTAGAAGAAATTCCTACATAATATTATATTTTTATATTTTCTTATTATAGAATTTCCTTAAAATTATGGTGGCAAATATCTTTCTTATAACTCCAAGATCTTTTTCTTGTATGTAACTAATAAAAAACAAAAATATTCTCATTTATTTTCCATTTGATTTGTAGTTTCATATGCCATAGGCATAACACAGACACACCACAGGCATAGTTATTGATTACAAGATGATTTAAAATAATAGTTCAAAGTTTTGTGAATTTCATCTTTCAGAAAAATATTTATTTCAAAAATAAAATTTTACATTCATAAGCACTTTATTAACTGAAAGTACAAATATGTATATTATGTGGCCGCACACCAAGATTTGTGAGAATCTTTCAATAAGTTAATTGATTTTTACTTAATTTGGGAGTCCTTTCTGAGAGCTATGAAATTCAATAAGTTCGCCATTATTTAAAACAAAAACTGGATTAAAATCTCATTTTAAATGGAATTACAAACTTCCATACCTTAATGAAAATAAAGTTCGATGAAAGTTTTAGTCATTTTGTGGAAAGCTGCCAAAAAGGCTTTCACTAGATAGCAATCACTGTAATTATTACAGCAGCTGACAAAGGCTTAAACATCACACACACACACACACACACACACACACACACATGCACAACACACACACACATCCTTTTAGAAATCCCAATGCTTTTAAGCAATACGATGGTTGATGACATGGTTACAGGGATAAAGTCAGGGTGACAAGAATAAGGAAGCAGGTGACAAGAATTTGAACTAAAGCCTGAATAATTTAGATAATTATATTGTCTTTGAATGCAAATGGTTGTTTTAAATGTGACGTATTTTCTGCTTTTTAATTTTTGTTTATAATTTTAGAAATGTATTTTGTGAGCTGATAATTGACTTGAATTTGGGATGTTAATAGTGTTTTGATAATATGCCTGATTTTTTTATTGCTTTGGTTTGTATTTTATATGTGTGTGTGAATATTTATGCACCTGTGTATGTAATGCATACGTGGGATATGCATTTGTATGCACACATAGTGAATGAGTTAATTTTCATATGAAAATGCATGTACATGTTAGAGAAAAACTGTAACTGCCACTGAAATTGCAAGCTTAAAAATTATTCAGTTGCAATTATTCCAAATTTGGAATAATGTAAACCAAAGGAATAAAAGAACAGAATGAAGGAATAAACAAATAAGTGTAGTATATGTACATATGAAAATACACAAATACACACATATATATGCTAGTTTCACCAGGCATTTCTTTCTTTTGGAAAGCTGAATAAATATAGAGTTAATGATTGAACATAAAACACATAAATTAGTTGAAACCCAGCAAACATTTGCAAAGCAAAGATTGTCAAAATAATTTCAATAATTAGCTATGAGAATACAAATATTCTAATGATTCATTTTTCTGCCCCTAGGAACAACTCAAACTGATTTCTGTTAGTGCTTGTGTATACTATATAGACTTTCCCAGTTAAAGCTTAACGGTTCTCCTTCATTCTATTACTGAACTTCTCAGACTTGGATAAAACTTTCTCAACAAGGGTAGTACTGCCCCCTAGGGGTATTTTGAAACTCTAAATTGTCACAATGATTGGAGTGGCACCACTTACAATTAATAGGATGGTAATATTAATATAGTTATCAGGATAGCTAATAGCTATCCTTAAATAAGTGGTACAGATAAAACATTTTTTGTGGACCAGGAATGGGACTCCATGGTAGACCATATGTCATCTGTGAAGAACTCTAGACCCCTTTCTTGGCTTCACAAAACAAGCAAATAAGACATTTATCACACACAAATTTAAAACTGTGTACTATTTCTCTTCGTGTTAATGTAGATATAAAACATTTCATTATTATGTCTGGTTAAAACACCTCTATTTTCCATGTAAATGCAATTTTCTACTCAATTTTAATAGTACTAAATTTCCAAAGGATAAGAATTATTACAGAACTTAAAGGGATATTGTATTTTATTTTGTTTGAAAATGTTCTGACAATTAGCCAACATTTTAGAAAAAACACATTGCCAAGGAGACATTGCACTATATCCAATTCACAATAGAATATTTGGAGTTTGATTCATCTTTGCACTATTACATTAAGGCAATTACATATAGCTTTGTAAAGTTCTCCCCACTTATTTTGTTTAGTAGTTGCACACTAATATTCACAGATCATCTTTAATATTCTGTTGTAAACAATTGCCCTTCTGAATTTCTCTCCTTATAATACTCCAGTATGATTGCTTTTAAATACACATCTATATAGATAATTATATTGCCCAAAATTTTTACTTCAGGATAATAAACCCCCTATGCCTGACTGTCTCCACCAGGGCCCAACAGCTGAAGACCACCGAGGCCCAGCCAAGGCCTTGCTGATAGCACTCTCCACACACTTGGATGAGCCTCACGCATAAAAGAACTGACAGAGGAACCCAGGTGTGTGGGACCCGGGGCTGAGATCTCCAAGCCTGTACAGTTTGGGACTGGACCTGCCAGTAACTAGACAGTTACACCCACCAACTGCCGTGTAACTCCAACAACGGCCAGGATCCAGAGATCATCACACTCAGCTCCTGGGAGAGAACAAGACAGAGTCTCCTACCCTATGCCTGACTGTCTCCACCAGGGTCCAACAGCTGAAGACCACCGAGGCCCAGCCAAGGCCTTGCTGGGACTGGACCTGCCAGTAACTAGACAGTTACACCCACCAACTGCCGTGTAACTCCAACAACGGCCAGGATCCAGAGATCATCACACTCAGCTCCTGGGAGAGAACAAGACAGAGTCTCCTACCCTATGCCTGACTGTCTCCACCAGGGTCCAACAGCTGAAGACCACCGAGGCCCAGCCAAGGCCTTGCTGGGACTGGACCTGCCAGTAACTAGACAGTTACACCCACCAACTGCCGTGTAACTCCAACAACGGCCAGGATTCAGAGATTATCACACTCAGCTCCTGGAAGCGCGCGGCCGCATTCGCGGCCGCGCGACATCTTATCATCTCATTCCTAATTCGGTCAAACTGGCAGGCTACCAAATGTAACATGCCCACACGACAGAGTCTGGCAAACTCCCCGTGGTATACCCAATATGCCAAATACCAGTAACAATGATGGGTCTCATTCTCCTAACCCTGAAAAAGCCTTGAGTATGGCACTTTAAAAAAAAAAAAATCTCAGGGCTAGGACGAAGAAGACGTTACTGGCACCTGCTCGAGGCAATCAACGAACAACAGGGTGGTCGTGATCGTGATAATAAACCAAGTACTACAAAATTATTTATTTATTGCCAAAAAGAGGCCTTGTATGCAGTGTCAGAAGGCTCCTCTTGACAATTCTCAGCCAACTAAAACAGTTTTTTTATGTCATTCAGACTATAGCACTGCAGATCAGCTGGGCAACCAAGGCATCTTACATCTTGCTATGCTCAAAGGGTTTTGTGGGACAGAGAACAAACAGAGGTCAACAACTTGCAAGACATGAGTCTCAGCCGTTGTACTATCTCTCAAGAACCTACAAAATAGTAAATTATAACAGCAAACTTTGGATCTTAGAAAAAGCCAAGAACTATTAAATATAATGGGAACAACAGTGTTGGGCTTCCCCTCGAGTTTATAAAATCATTATTTTTCTTACTCAGATAATCTATTTTTTAATAAAATTGATAAGCTAGGAAGCTTAACTTTTATGTGTTGGCTAAAGTGAGCACAAAGTCCATGCTCAGGGGACAGTTTGGGAGTGGAGAGAAGCTGGTGGAGGGATAGTCACAATGGTTTTGGGATTGCTGTTGGAGCATTGGATGCCTGAAACAACTAACAGTTGTTTATATATAACAATTCACGGTTATTTATTTTATAAATAACTGTGAATTGCCACTGTCAGTGTCACTATCCCATGATGACCAAGGGTTCACTGGTGCATCAGGGCCAATGACAGTCCTCCCAGCCAACCAGAAAAAGGAATGGGGGCCACAGGCTGGTAATTCATATTTTGTAATGATATATTAATTATTTGAATGTCATCCTTGCTCAGCGACCATGCTAATCTTCTCTGTATTGTTCCAATTTTAGTATGTACTGCCGAAGCAATAGCACAGCGGGTAGGGCCTTTGCCTTGCATGCGATCTATCCGGCCAACCCAGGTTCAATTCCTCTGCCCCTCTCAGAGAGTCCGGCAAGCTACTGAGAGTATCTCACTCTCATGGCAAAGCCTGACAAGCTACCCCTGATGTATTTGATATGCCAAACACAGTAACAAGTGTCACAGTGTAACGTTACTGGGCTCACTCAAGCAAATCGAAGAACAATAGCAGGGCAGTGACAGTGACAGTGACAGTGATATTAATTATAGAGAAATAGTGACTGGTTTGGGGGATGGGTAACAATTACACATAGTGTAGTTGAACACTAATGCAAACAATGAACGGATGTAAAGCCCTGCCTTCAGGGAATGTTCTTCTAGGAGATTCACCCATGGACAGAATATCATCTAGGAGCTTCAGCATTCTATATTCCTACTAGGAGATCTGCCCAAGGGCGGAATTCCACCTAAGGGCATATTGCGTTCTTCTTTCCTTTGCTGGTAATCCATCTAAACAATCATATGAAATTTACTTCTTAAGAATGTTTCTGGTATTTTGTATGAATTCAGAGATAGAGGCTTCATTTTTACCCTATATTAAGCTTAAAAGGTGGTTTTTATCTCTGGACATCTCACAACATTTCCCCAACTACATTTTTTTCTCATCCCAACAGGATCCTTATTCAGTAATTTCTTTTTATGTCATGACAGACTTTGCTCAACAACTGTGTCTTAATTTATCACACTTTTTAGGGCACTTAGGATGTCCCTTTTGAAACCAGGGTATCTGATGATTTGCCCTGGGTCCAACTAAGTCCCTTGATGGCACCTACCCTTTGGGGTGTTAGGAACTAATTTAACCGAGGCTTAATTTAAGTCAATATGACAGATGCCCAGAAGTAAATATTATTTGGAGTCGATTAGCTCTCATGTTACAAAAGCATGCATTAACTGTCTTCCTGTGTATAGACAAAAAGACATTGTTCTAAAATAAATTACGCAAAGGACATAGAGGGAAGAGAAAGCAATATTTTACTTACATATTCAAAATCCAGAGCCCTTAGAAGATTTGAATTTACAACTTACAGGGTCTGATCTGTAGATATTTATGATTAAAAGATGAAGAAGAAGTGCACAAAGGAGAGGATAAAGACAAACACAGAGGATTGGGAGTGCCCCAATGGAATTGGGGGTGCCTCAGAAACACTGTAGTGTGTGTAATTCAACTAATCTAAACTCCCTGCTGAAGAAGCAAGGACAACCCAATGTTAAACCGGAAATACTTAAAACTATAACCCAACAGTAAATTACGGTGTCTTTATTTTTTAAAAAATTAAAGATAAAGTGAACAGAGAAATAAGCATAATATAATTTGTTATTGGTTTTATTGGAAACTTGGTACAAATAAAATTAAGTTTTATGATGGTTTTGATGATATGCAGTGCTATTGTCTGAATGTTATGAGATAGTAATGATGGTTCTAGCATGAGGAGGAATGATGGGGTATATTAATGGATGCTAAACAATCCCTCTGGGGTTCCTAGTCAGATGTTTTTTGAGGATAGTAGAGTGAAAAGACTACAACATTATAGCTAATATATTTTCTGTCATTTTTGCCATACTTCACAATTTCTACGATTTTTTTACTCTTTATTGTTTTTTGCATCCTTTTACTTCATTGTAATCTTTTCCAATCAAAATATCAATAGATAACCTGATACTACTTATAATATTCATATTTTAAAATCTGATTTTTATGTTATGTGAGGGCTGGAGCGATAGCACAGCGGGTAGGGCGTTTGCCTTACACGTGGCCAACATGGCCGACCCGAGTTCGATTCCTCCGCCCCTCTCGGAGAGCCCGGCAAGCTACCGAGAGTATTCGATATGCCAGACACAGTAACAACAAAGTCTCCAATGGAGACTTACTGGGCCCGCTCGAGCAAATCGACGATCAACGGGAGGGCCTTTTACCTTTTTACCTGATGTTATGTGACTGTAATAATTATTTGAATATATCTAAAATAGACTTGTTAGTTATACATTCTCATGCCTCTTCATATCAATAATAAATTCATAGAAGAAATTTTGATTGGAAAGAATATCAGTCAAAACAACTTTGTGGATGCCTACAGTAGATATGTATTTCTGGAAAAGAGAATAGTGTTGTGTTTGTTTCCTCATTTGCAGCCATGAAGGGATAATTTTTTGCTCTTTGGGTTCTTTTCAGGCTGATCAAGCAAATGAATTAATGTCAGCAGATTAGTTAGATTAGTAGGAGAAAGGGACTAAATTTAATTAAGTATAACTAATCTACATTGTTGCAAAATTTTGGAGTAAAAGTGACAAACTTAAGATTTATATCCTGAGATAAAGAAATGCATGTTGAATCAAGGAGAGGTGAGGATTTCTTACATGACAAGGAAGGATTGACTTCCTGTGACAAAATCTTTCTTCTAGATGTGTATTGCTGCCTTAGTTTTTCTTATAGAAAGAAAGCTAATTCCTGGAGTTGACCATAAAATCTTGGGCAATTTTCACAAGCCAAAGTAATATGTATAAGAAAAAAACATGCTCTGGGAATGAAGGAATAATACAATGTCCACAGTGTGTAAGACCGAGCTCAGCTAGTTCTAGGCACTCCATATGGTCTCCCAAGTTTTGCTAAGAGAGATCTCTGAGCATAGAACCAGAGATTAGACCTAGATGTGCCCCAACAATAGCACAAAGCGGGATTTGAAAATTTTGGAAAAATGCATATCTAAACCATGTTGTACAATTCTGCCAAATATCTAGTTCTGTTTTGCCTTGAAATTCAACATATTGTTGAAAACAGTTCTTGAATGATTTTTATGATTAAATTGTTTAGAATGTTCTTGACATTTTGATATTCAATTTGTAAATATCAACAAAACATTTTTTTTGCTTTTTGGGTCACAACTGGAGATGCTCAGGGGCTACTCCTGGCTTTGCACTCAGGAATCACTCCTGGGGGTGCTCAGGGGACTATATGAGATGCTGGAAATCGAACCCAGGTCAGCCATGTACAAGGCAAACACCCTACCTGCTGTGCTATTGCTCCAGCCCCTTAGTAAAACGTTTTAACTGAATTTTAGTGTTTATTTTATTTATCAGTAATACTCTGATTTCACTTTTTTATCATCCATTGCATTCTTCTTATTAATTTTCTTTTGAGCTTTCCCATCTGTACCTTAGAAATGTTAAATATTATCTCATTAATTCATTTAAGTCCACCGTGAAATGTTTGACTGTATGCCTGGAATGCATGCTTTAAAATTCTATGGTGTGGTTTTATTTGCTTGTAATTCAAGACAAAACTACATACTTTATTTATTTTTTTCTTATTCATTTATATGTCCTCCTCTTAGATATTTCTGACCTATTTAATAACTTCACTGATGAATTAAATCTTCACTGATGAAGATCACCAGTTTTTCTAAATTTCACTTTGAATTCTGAGATAATTATTTCTGTAATGTTTTTTATGTTTCCACTTTTTTCGGGGGGTTGTTGTGTTTTCCTATTGTGTTATTTAATTTTCATCACCTCTACTGGACTCAATGCAGCACTTTTTGCATATGTAAATGCATAAATGCAATAGTTTCTACTTTATTTTCCAGAATTTGTAAGACTTTCATTTACTACTGGAAAGTATTTCCTTCATGTGTAATATAGTGCTTGGAAACCATGAAAGGTAAGATACATGAAGTTCTGATCTCTTCACTATGCCTCACTTACAGAGAAACCTCTTAGGCGGCAATGTGCCACTTCAATTACCACATGCTTCCTGCCCAGCTGTTTTCTGGAAAGAGAAAGAGAGATGATGAACAACCCTCAAACTGCCCACAACAGTCTCTATCATGCAATGGAATAATGGCTGCCAAGTTTCCTGTTTAGAAAGGTCCTTTTTCTTATTCACGAGCCAGACAGTGGCAAAGATGATGCAAAGTGCATTTACATGGCCAGGTTTTCTATGCTGGGTCTATAAAATATGCATGGAAAACTTAATGTATATTTTATTCCAATTCCATCAAATTGTAATTAGCGAAAAAAATACTAACTCATTTTAAGAATAGCTTTAGCATCATTCAGTTTGCAGTGTAATGAGTACATGTTTCCTGTTTTCATGGAATGATGGATTTTGGATGTCATCTTCAAAAACAGGATATCGTAGTGACATATGCCAGAGGTCATGAGTATGACTACAAGTGATGCATCCTGCTATATGTACTCATATTTTTATGATTCTGACTGATAGTGATTTGAATATTACAATGCACAATGGTGCTGTAATACCTTGACTGAGGATTAAGTGAAAATAATGGAGAAAAAGCATTAAATTATCAGTTAAAAAGCAACTGTTTGTTTAGAAGATGGTAATTAATAGATATAGGAATGCCAATGTCATTATAACTGACAGGTGTTGTGGATAACTAACACTTCTAAAGGCAGTATAAATACATATGCATAATATCGTCATTCTTTGTATGTTCTGGATTCCATGCATATGATCACTTGATCACTTGTTATCACATTACTCATTGATTTGAGCCAGTAACATCTCTGTTTGTCCCCACTGCATGCTAGTGTAGCCCAATGGCGTCTGCTTGCTCCAGGAACACAAAGAGCCTCAAACCGTTCATTCAGGGTCTTGACGAAGAAGTCTGACCATCTCGTAGGTGGGCAGCCACACAGTCTTTTGACGTCCTGTGGAATCCAGTCTGTAACGGCTCTGGTCCAGCGGTCTTCTCCAAATAGCATTACTTGTCCAGCCCATCTGATTTTCGATGCCTTGGCAAACGAGACAGCATCCCTGATTCTCTATCGTCAATGGAGGTCAGAACTATGGATTCCTTCTCTCACTTGAGAGCATGATACTCCAATCATAGCTCTTTTGATTTCTCTTTTGGAGATCCGAATGGCATTCTTATCCTGTTTTTGTAGGGTCCAGTCTCTGAGGTGTGTGTTAGTGCAGGGAGAATGGTGGA